AAATCTGGGCTCTGTCATAGCTCACGATTAGCATTTTTGCTGCTTGCCAAAGTAACTTCACACATTAACTGATCCAAACCCTAGTGAGCAGCCCTGCTGTCTACTGCGTGCAGCTACCTTCTAAAGCAGCATCCTAACTGAATTGAAGCCTGACATTTTGAAAGACTTCACATTAGTAATAGCAACAACTCCGCATGTCACAGATATTGCACTGCTCAATAAGGTACAACAGTTCCCACCCACGTTTTTAGCTGTCTTTGTTCTGGAAGTATTTTTTCCATAGAGATTTAAAAAAAAAAAAAGTCTTTGTGAAAGCTATAAGCCAGGAACCAGGCTTATAACAAGCCAGCTGTATACGAGATGAATCACAACATTATAAACTTTGATTTGAAGCAAAGAAGTATTTGAAATTCAGATTAAAAGATACAAGACTGTGTACAGAACAGCTTTGATGACGGGAAAGAACCACAATAACATTAAATTACGCAGCCAAAATAGAAATGATGGATAAATAAATATAAATCTATTTATTTATAGATGTTGATTATGTAATGAAATAATATATTCTGTGTATTGCAAATTATGCATACAAATCATGGTGTGTTTTACTTCGTTAGTAATGTGGTTTTCACCAGAAATTCTGCTGTTAAACATTATAATTTTTTTTTTAAATAATGCAGGTTGATGGCTACAACAAAAGCATGTGCCATTGACTAACAACATTGTACTCACAGGAGGTCTGGTTTTAAAGGGTTAAAAGTTATCACTCAGAATCAATTCCCCTATGGAATCTACATTTCTGTCAGATCATCAACCATTGTGGGTTATCTTTTGTCACAGAGCTACATATGTCACAGGCTAATACGTTCATTTTATTGAAATTGCTTTTCTTAAAAGTGCAAATACTATGTTTAGCCTATTCTTTGCTGGTTCTGTGTGTAATTGTGTGAGTATGATTGTTCTCTGTGTGTGTGAGGGCGTCTGAGTAAAGGCAGGGTGATGGTTCTAAGAATAGCGTCAGAGAACCTCTGGCGGGTCCACTCTGAAGACCACACCCATCACACACACCCTGACCAGGCTGAACTACGCGTTCTTAGTTCCTGTTTCATGAAGACATGAGCTATTTTTACCCTGTGAATCCGCCTCTGGATTGAGAGGGTCCATTACCCGACCAATATGCTGTTCCATATGTACTGCACACCCTCAAACACACACACACAAATCTGTCATTACTGACAGAGAAAGAGTGAGATCGAGAGAGAGAGAGGTTATTTTGGAGCTTGTGTAAATGAAATGAACTCTCCCATGCAGACCCAGAGAGAAGTGGAAAGAAGCAGAAAAGTCATACAGTCGAGGGGAAAGTTCTGCTTGTTCTCTTTCTGTTCCAACTGGCTGATGTAAGCCTGTGAAACAGCAGAGCTAGGATTTTCTCTCTCTCTCTCTCACACACACACACACACACACACACACACACACACACACACACACGCACATAC